GTGGGGACCTGGCAGTGGTCCCCACGATTCACTTTGGTCCCCACCTGGCTGCTTTTTTTTGTAACACACACACACACACACACACACACACACACACACACTCTGCGCCCTGCATGTGCCGCCCTGCGCTCCGTGGCGCGCGCCGCGTCACACCGGGGTGTCACACAGCGTCCCGGCGCGTTTAAAAAACGTTGTTAACTTGGTTCTCACGAGCCTGTAAAACAAACTGGACACCTTTGATGACGGGCCTCCTTGGCACCGGCTCGTCTGTCTCCTGCAGCAGCTCCGAACAGCAGAGAGAGAGATGAGTCCTTATCTCCTTAAAAAAAACAAATCCACATCAGAGCGGCTGCAGGACAAAAGGGGAGCTTGTTTTTAAAATAAATAAAAGTGTCAAAGAAGAGAAGGGAGAGGAGGGTGGGGGTCCAAATTATCTGGAAACAGAGCCAGTCCTCTGCAGGAGCCAGAGGAGCTGAAGGGGAAAAAGTGGCACCGAGAGGTGAAGACGAGATTTAAAAAGTCTCAGACTGGCATCTGTCTGTCAGGAGAACAAATGGGAGCCGAAACAAACCAGACACGGATGGATTCAACCAAAAGGAACGAGACCAGAACTCTGAGCTGAACATCCTCACTTTCATTTGGCTTTTTGTCACGCGCGCCTCTGGAAATAACTTGAAACCGAATATTATTAAGTGTGTAAACCAATCAGGTGGTTGGTTTTAACGGAACAAGAACATTTTAATTTCTCTGTTATTATTCATTATCCAGAACCAGGAAAAATGAGCAATAAAACAGACAGATTCCCAGCTGGAGCTGCAGACAAACCTTTAATATTATATTATATTATTATCCTTAAAGCGCTGAAAACAAAAGCAGTTTTTCAGTCAAACTTTTCTAACATATTTTATTTATGTATTTATATAGATACTAAAATTGTAACAATTTTAAGCTGTGTTTAAGAAAAGTAATTAACAATAGAAAAAGACAAAAAATCAGTTTGAGGACGTTCAAAAAAACGTTTTACCTTTATTTGGTTCATTTTGATATCTATAAGTTAATTCTTTCTTTTCAGAAAAGACGCGCAGCTTCTAGTTTGCGTCTCCTTCATTTCTACAGAAACTAGACCTCGGTTCAAATTCACCTTAAGCTGAAGCCAGCAAAATGTAAAGTAATTTTATTTATTTATTTTTAATCTTATTTTTAATCTTATTCAAGTGCGCTTTGTTCATCTCCGGTTTAAACTCCCCCAAAACAAAAGCTTGTGTGTCTGGGAAAAAAAAGAAAGAGGGAAAAAAAAATTCAGGTAACCTGCGGCGACAGGTGGCACTCAGGGCTGAGGGTGAAAGGTCAAACATTTCCGCCTCCTGAGATAAGACATCATGCATACCCTTACAGTTGTCCTGTTTATACTGTAGAGTTCACAGTGTCTGGTTTCTGACAACCACCGGAAGTTCCATTCAGCCCAGCGGTTCACGCGCATCAGTTTTTCTGCAACTTTTTTTTTTTTTTTCCTGGACAGCCTTTTGAAATAGGACCAAGTTTTCTAAAGACTCTCTGAATGTTTGTTAAAAGGGTAAATAAATAAGTAAATAAATAAATAAATAAATAAATAAATAAATAAATAAATAAATAAATAAATAAATAAATAAATAAATAAATAAATAAATAAATAAATAAATAAATAAATAAATACATTTTTACAGCAGCCCTAGGCTTCTTGTCTTCTCAGCAGAGATGCGTCGCTTGAAAACATTTCCCAAAACTTCCACAAATCTGACTAAACCAATTACATCGCTCCCATAATCAGCATTCAGGTGAAAAAAAAAAAACATGATTCTGCACATTTTAAAATTTGGTCTCACACTGCTGCTCAGCTAAAGTTTTGTTTTTTTCCCCAAGTTTGTTCCTGTTTTTAACAGTTGGACTAAAAATTATCTGATGAACATAAAGTTAATCTAAAGCTGTGATCTGATCTGCTGCTGCCACATCCTGACATGGTTAAATCTTCCCTCCTAACTCTTACTGTCATCATGTGTTGCCAACAGCACCCCCCCCCCCCCCCACACACACACACACACGCTCCAGTCCTGCTGCCCCTCTCTGTTCGCCCAGCCGTCACCATCTGCTGGCGGGTGGGGTAGGGGTGTCTCCCCTCTACTCCATCCCCTCATCTTTTTCTCCTCATCTTCCTGTGTTTTGTGCCCCTCCACCCTCCCTCCAGCCACCCTTATCTCGGTCAAGCCCCCGAGCTTTTGTTACCCTTGTGCCCCCCCATTTCCGCTTTTGTGTTACCCTCTGACCTTGCCCACGGCCCTCCTCTCTGTCACTGCAACCCCCAAACCCCGTCAACACGAGACCCCCAAATCTTCTTGTTCCTCCCTCGACCGCTTCCCCTTTTGGTTTCTGTTGGGGGGCTAATAACTGTTACCAGCAAGACCCACACAAAATCCCAGCGTGATCACCATTGTGAGGCCCACAATGGCAAACAGGCAGTAATGGCCATTAGAAACAGAGGGGCTTTGGTGCGAGCGTGAGGTTTAGTTGTGTTAAGCCCACATGTGACCTGGACCGGTGGTCAGACGTGAAGTCTTGCTTTGTCGCCCTCAAGTTTGCACATTCTTCAGACTCTTTAAGCGCCCTCGCTCCCTTATTGTGCCTCAAAGCGACCCAACGAGAGCGCTCGGACTCATCCAAACGTGTTGTCATTACCTTAAATGATTTACATGAATGAGCTCAGTGTGAGCCGCAGACTCTCAGAGCCAAACGCAGTGGGAGACTTTGATCAGAGAAGCTGGTGGAGCTTGTCGTCATGCCCGTCAGTCAAAGGTGAGCGCCATGGAGACGAAGCATCGCAACGTCGGCTATTGGTCGCGGCTCCTGAAAAGGTGTGGAGTCAAGTGTTCTCAAGGGATCTTGTGGCAGGTGCTCCTCTCAGGAGGCAGGGTTAATTAAATGAAGGGTCAAAGAGCCTCTTTATTAGCAGAGCAATGCGGAAAAAATATGTTCAAACAGCAAGAAAATAAGACCTCAGAGTGGTCTGAGTTTGTGTTTTACGTTTTTCTGCGTCTGATGAGCCTCTTAAAGAGACTCAATGGAAGGTTCACAACATAAGACTTTTTTAAAAATATATGTGAACGAGACGTGCATTTGATTCACAGCCAACTCATTTAAAACACTCATTGTGATTTCTGACGTGTCTTGTTTATGATGGTCAACACGTTAAGACAAGGGGAAAACGGTGGAATCTCCTTCTGGGTTGGAGTTGAGTCTTTGCCTCAAGCATAAGAGTTCAAAAATCTGGGACTCGTGTTTATGAGTGATGGTAGGATAAAAAGGAAGGACTGACAGATTGGAGCCTCGTCCACAACAATGAAGACATGGTCTATGCTGAGCCAGAAGCTCAGTCGATCTGAACCTGCAAAATTCTCGCACATTGGGTAGTTGTGTGACGGAAACGCACCATTTCGTTCTCAGCCGTGAGTCTCTCTCTCCTTCTTGACAAAACGTCCAGGTCAAAGTTTTGTTGTTGAAAAGCACTCAGAAAGCATTTTGCTTCAACTACTCCACTTCTAGAAGCTGGCTTTTGTACCTGCAACGAGACATATAGATAGTCAAATGACCAGAAACTTATACACCGAGGACTCCATCTGCCAAAAAAGTGTGGCGCTTTTATCGTGACAGGTTTGTGGCCAAAGTAACAACGGATATCAGAGTGTAGACTCCAGTGGGCCGAAACGTGGGAGGGGTTTCAGGAGCTCTGTGCCATGTGTCTCATTGGAAACAAACCTCTCGTCACCATGTGACCATGTGTTGACATGTTGGCTGCTGATCGACCACTTTGGGCTCTTTAGGGTCGTGTAAAGAATTGTTCCGATTGGAAGCTGAAAAAATAGAC